ACTGTGTGGGACCGTGACGCTGCAGGACACGGAGGTGGCCGGAGGGACCGTGATCTGGCGCCTCTCCCCCTCCCACGGCCGGGCAGGGGGACCAGACCTGCGCCAGACCTGCGAGCGCCTTGCGCTTCTCCCTCGGCGTAGGTGGGATTGCTAGGCAGGTATGTGCAAGATCCTTGTCTTTGCCGGGGATTTTCCAGGAAGCTTTGAGTGGGTTAGTCTGGAGACGGATCCAAAACCTTTGCTGCTTTTGAGATGAAGCTTGATAAACTCGGGAGCAGGATTATGCTGTGGGTTCTTGCAGCAGGAGAGGACCAGGCTCCGTAATCATCATGTCTTCCCCCTTGTGTGCCAGCAAGGCTTTTGACACTATCTCCCATCACATCCTCGTAGGTAAGCTCAGGAAGTGTGGGTTGGATGAGTGGACAGTGAGGTGGATAAGAAATTAGCTGGATGGCCGAGCTCGGAGGGTTGTGCTCAGTGTTGCGGAGTCTAGTTGGAGGCCTGTAGCCCAGTGGTGTCCCCCAGGGGTCAGTCCTGGGTCCAGTCTTGTTCAATGTATTCATCCATGACTTGGAGGAAGGGACAGAGTGCACCCTCAGCAAGTTTGCTGATGATACTAAACTGGGGGGAGAGGCTAACACACCAGAAGACTGTGCTGCCATTCAGAGGGACGTGGACAGGCTGGAGAGGTGGGCGGAGAGGAACCTCCTCAAGTTCAGCGGAGGCAAGAGCAGGGTCCTGTCCCTGGGGAGGAATAACCTCCATTGGCCCAGGACAGGCTGGGGGCTGATCTGCTGGAAAGCAGCTCTGCCGAGAAGGGCCTGGGAGTCCTGGTGGACAACAAGGTGACCATGAGGCAGCAGTGTGCCCTTGTGGCCAAGAAGACCAGTGGGATCCTGGGGTGCATTAGGCAGAGTGTCGCGGGCAGGTGGAGGGAGGTGATCCTGCCCCTCTCCTCAGCCCTGGTGAGGCCACATCTGGAGTACTGGGTCCAGTGCTGGGCTCCCCACTACAAGAGAGACATGGCGCTACTGGAGAGAGTCCAGCGCAGGGCTACAAAGGTGACGATGAGGGGACTGGAGCATCTCTCCTCTGAAGAAAGGCTGAGGGAGCTGGGCCTGTTCAGCCTGGAGAAGAGAAGATTGAGAGGCGATCTCATCAATGTGTACAAGTATCTGAAGGGGGAGTGTCTAGAGGATGGGGCCAGCCTCTTCTCCGTGGTGCCCAGTGACAGGGCAAGAAGCAACGGGCACAAAGTGAAACACAGGAAGGTCCATCTGAACATGAGGCAAAACCTCTTCACTGTGAGGGTGACAGAGCACTGGAACAGGTTGCCCAGAGAGGTAGTGGAGTCTCCTTCGCTGGAGATATGCAAAACCCGCCTGGACACGATCCTGGGCAACGTGCTGTAGGTGACCGTGGTGGAGCAGGGGGCTTGGACTAGATGATCTCCAGATATCCCTTCCAACCTCAACTGTTCTGTGATTCTGTGGTAGTTCACTGGCAAGCAGATGTCCACCACGTTTCTGGTTCTTTAGCTTTTTCAGGTTCTTTGCTATCTGCGCCAAAGTAGCGCGCTTTACATAGGAAATTCCTTGGACTAGTTGCTAAGGCGGTGGTGGCATTAACACATTGGTGGTGTGGCTGCTGAACGAAGCAGTTCTGCTGTGCTCCTTGTGCCTGCAGGAGGACTTCTGAAGCTGCAGAGTAAACCGGATTGGGGAACTGGTTGAGCTGAGGCCTTTTTTGCTAGATCAGTTCGAAAAATAACTAGCCCTGTGTCTGGGTGGGGTTTGCTGAGCAGTCACATAAACGCTTGGTGGCAGGAGTCTGCCTTCAGTGGAGGAGCAAGGGCTTGCGTGTGCAGATTTGGATTTGGTAAGCTGCTGGCCAAAAGCTCCTTGGAGCTGGGTTTCCCCTTCTGCAGGGTGACCCATGCGTCACCCATGGCCTTATCTGTCCCCCCCCCCCCTTTTTTTTTTTTAATCAGGGCCTAAGCGAGATCTGGCGTTGCCTTTTTCATTATAATGTCTTCTGGTGTGGGTGTGACATCGAGCTATCCGTCGGGGGGTGAATTGGACTTGGAAAGGTAGCCTTATTCATTAGTCTGAGGATTAAATCCAGGACAGAGTGAAAACCCTACCTACGGGTTGCGAGTGATGGTGGGTGAGGAGCCCGAGGTGCAGGGGTCTCTCTGAGCCTCGTTGCTGGGCTTTCCGGGAAAGATCCAGCCTAACTGAGAACGCCTGCGAAGTTTGTGTTAAACCCCGCCGGAAAACAGCGCTGGCGCTGCTGAGCTCGGCTGTCCTGGCAAAAAAATAAAGAAAACAAGTTAGGAAAGGAGAAGGGCTGGGAGAGGAGCGAGGACGGCGCGGGAGGCACTGCGTCGCGCGGGGAAGGTGCTGGGCAGCCACGGGGAATTACTGCGTCCGTCTGCGGCGGCACCGCCGAGAGGACCGGGCTTAACTTGGCCGGGCTGCAAATGCCGGCAGGCGGAAGAGGTTCCTGACGGCGCTTGGCTCTCATTAAAAGCGTCAAGGTAAAATAGCGTATGTGCGTGTGGGAGGAGGTCTTGGTTTGTTTTTTAACCTGCCGTAGGTCCACCAGCTGGCAGGGAGGCCGGGGCAAGAGCTGCGGCACGCGGGAAGCCCGGAGCTGCCCCGGCCGTGGAGGAGCTGGGTAAGGCCCCCAGGTCCGGGAAGAAACGGAGGCGGCTTGCC